CACTCGTAGAGATCTTTCATTTAGGTTTTTTTTTTTTTTTCCCCCATAGTGTCTTGGCTTTCCATGCCTGAAATACTCTCATGGGCTTTTCAGCCAGATCCGCATGCCTTAAGGGCTGATTCTGAGGCCAGAGTGCTGTTTAGGACATCTGCCATTCTATGGGTCTGCTGTGTATCTCACTTCCCATGTTGGATCATTCTCTCCCTTTTTGATTCTATCAGCTAGTATTTGCAGACACTATTCTTGTTTATGTGCTCCCTTTGGTTCTTAGTCCTATCATTATGATCAATTGTGAACAGAATCTGATCACTGGGACTAGTGAGATGGCATTGGTACATGCCACCTTCATGGGATTGAATTGGAATCCCCTGGTATGTTTCTAACTCTACCGTTTGAGGTAAGTCATTTTTGAGAAGTGTCTATTCAGATTTTTAGCCTGTTTTAAGATCAGATTGTTTTCTTTTTGCTATTGAGTGGTTGAGTTCCTAAGAAATTCAGCCAAGACAATTCAAGAGGGGAAATAACAACCTCTTTAAAAATGGCACTGGAACAACTGTATCCACACTCATAAGAATGAACTTGGGACCTCTCCTCCCATCCTATTAAAAAATCAACCCCAAATGGAACTTAGATCCAAATGTTAAAGTCAAAACCATAAAACTCAAGAAGAAAACATAGTAGTAAATCTTCAAGACCTTGAGTTAAGCAATGGTTTCCTAAATATAACACTAAGTACGAGTCACAAAAGAAAAATATATAAATTGAACTTCATAAAAATAAAAAGGTTTCTATAATTTTAAAGAGGCTCAAATAATTTTTAAGAAAAGCTGAGTATTCCATAAGCTGGTGCACCATAATTTCTCTGAACAGTAGATGTTTCAGCATACTGACGTTGTTAGTTTCGTCCTAAAGTGTGCAATGAGCACTATTGTGCAGTTTTGGACTTTCATATGATAAATTCTCCGGTGTCGACATGAAGAATCAGGGTATAAATAATTGGGTGATGTTTTGATCTGTACTAGGTGACCTAAAATTTTCCTTTTAATCATGGGATTCTTTAAAATCTTGGACTGCAGAAAGCCACATTGTCAAAGATTGCACAGCTAGTTGGGTGCAGAATTATGTCTAATGGTATTTTCCATGGATTGATGCAATTCTCCATGACAATATAAAATCATAAGCAAAACAAATGTACTTTTCTTCTAGTTCCTATTGTTACTCTTCAAATAAGACTAAAGGTATTATTAAATAATTTATGCACTTTTGATGATTTTACTTCCTTCTTATCCTGATTTTTTTTTGCTCACTAAGTACATCTGGACAAGTTGTAAGCTCTTTCAAGTAAAGATCAATTTATATAAATACTTAAATTATATCTAACAATCTAAGTTACTGATTTTTTAGCTTTTCACAATTTAATCTTGAATTGTCTATGTGAGAAATCATAAAATTTACAAGTAATAAGTTGTAAATTCTTCCCAATAGTTATTTCTTATTTTCCTTTCATTGCATTTATTTATGGTTATTATTTATATTTATTTCGTTTTATTGTCTAAGCCACCTAGAATAATGCTGAACCACACTCGTCATGGTGGGAATCCTTATTGTGTCTCAGTAATTAGTGAGGATGCTTTCAGTGCTGTAATGCAGCCTTTTCTAAACTGCGGCTATGGACAGCGGTTCCCACAGAGGGGAACAGAGTGTTCAGGTATCAGAGAGGCTTAGGAAATAGCACACTAAGTTCCCTGGCAGGAGAGTCACAGAATAAAACATTAGCATAATGAGACTGTTGAGAAATCCTCCAGAAAGAAGGAATCTGTTTAGTTAATAACCTTATTTGTTCTGGGTTAGACTATTTGCTCTAAACATACCTGTGGACATCTCCTCCCTTAATGCCAGTTGGAGGAACTTCGTCTCCTGTTTCACCTTGAATACTGTGCTGTTGGCTTCTGAGAAATCTTTTTTTTTTTTTTCATGTAAAGGAAGTTGAGTGTTTTTTTTTTTATCATTTTTCCTTCAGGAATTGATAATTTTATTTTATCAAATGCCTTTCAAGTTTTACTGAAATATCCTATGCTATTTCTTCTTTAATTCTTCAAAGCAATGTTCTGTCAACGGCAAATCATTCCTGCACTTAATGCAGAGGTTATGAAGATGAGGTTTGTCATCTCTTCATAGTCCATCTTCCAATGCTAGGCCTGCCACTCATCATCCTTGGGAACACTGACAACTTAACTGCTCCTGTCTGCTTCTTTGATTATGAAATGGAGTGAGGTAGTTGTTAACTGTCAAAGTGCTATGAAGTGCCAATACTGTTAATGATGGTAGCTGTTAAAAGCCTGATGACTTTTAGGATGGGACAAATTTTTATGATTTTATTTCTTGGAATCAGTCTATGTTTTCTCAGCCTTTTCTGTGGTGATTTTGATAATTCTTTAATAATGAAGGTTTATTTACTTAAAAGGCATAATGACAGAGGAGTGCAGGAGGGAAGAAAAGAGAGACAGCCAGGGTTGGAGCAGGTAGAAGCCAGGAGGAGTCAGGAACTCCATATGGGTCTCTCACGTGCGTTTATTATGATTTCCTTTCCAATTCACTCTATTTTTTTTAAATACAATTCCATGCTGTTTGAAAAGAATGGGTGTTTGTCAGATGCAAAATACTATATAGTAATAAATCAAGCTTATCAAATTATTCAAATCCTCTGCTGCCTTTCCTTTTCTTTATTGACCTGAGAAATAATGATAGTTGTTTTTCTCAGAACTTGACTTTTCTAGTAAGTGATAAGTGTTTTACCCTTTTGATTTGTGTATTTAATATAATATTATAGGGTAGTTGGAGCCTAGATCATGTTTAAATTTGAAGGCCATGACGTTAGTTTTCATTTGAAGCATTTAGGGGGATTGGGAAGTGAGAAGAATTACGGAAACCGAAAACATTTTGAGTTATTAAATTGATGGAAAGGAGGTACAGGATTATAATGGAGTATTGAATACACTATTGACACTGTCTTCATTATCTTTATGCGTTCCTCAAGCATTTGTGAGACAAGTTGTGTGCTAGGAAGTAAGTGTGCAAAGATGAGTGAGATCTCTTGCCAGTGCTCCATAGGGTTGCAGAAGTATCCTTTATTTCGTGAGCATAAATTCATGGGCACAGTGTTCACTAGACCGTGTGACCATGGTCCCTCACCAGCAAAGAGCTTGCAAGGCAATGGAACCGTGCCAGAGGTCTTTATGGCCGGCCTGTTCAGCAACAGTAGAGGCTCAGTTGCTGCTCAACTGATAAAAAAAAAATTGGCAGCTCTTGCTTCCCCCACCTACCCCCCTCGCCCTACCAGTCAAGGTTTGGCTGCACAGTTAAATTATATTCTGTTTATGTAGGGGCAGCAGGTTCTGTGATTCTGACTCATGAATAACAGGCTTAGAAAATAAGCCAGAATATAGAACTGATAAGAATCTAAAATGAAAGTCAAGGTAGGACAACATAATTGCTTGTGGGATATGTATATTACTTTTATAATACATTGCAATATATTACATTATGAGCTAGTAAAGTTAATAAGTGCTAGGAAAGTTAGCAATTGTTAGCAACATTGGACATATATGTGTATATGTGCACACATATAAACTCACATTATACTCACATGTGTGATACAGAATATTAAAATTTACTTATAAATTCAAACAGGATTTTCTAGTTTTTAGCACAATAGTAAATCACTGGTGAAAATTTTGGGAAGCAACGCTGTCTAAAAACCAAGCATGAGTCTCAGGAATTTGGTTAATGTTGACTCATAGAAAAATTCTGTGATAAAATTGAAAGGTCTGGAAAAACATTGGAACAGTGAAAGGAAGAATGTAAAAATTCACAGATTTATTTAATAAAGAAATTTTATGATTTTGGTTGTTATAGAACAAAGGCCACATTATAGAGCAATGATTACTGGAGCAGCTTAATCCTGGAAGAAATTCTCAAGAAGTTAGGAATGGAAGAAAGACACTCATCTGTACACCTCTTGAAATACGACTAAAATGTCAAGACATATGAATCATTGTACTTTTAATAATGTAGTAGATAATATTTTGCACCCACATGCACCATACAGTGTGTCTATATAACTGTTAAAATATGTAATTTTGAAATAATCAGATGTATAAAGAAACCAGTGGTTCAATAGCATTCTAATATTAAGCCTTTTACAACTTTCAAAATGTTTGGAAAATAAAATATTTGAGTATTTAAAATCAGCTTATAAAAGACTTGCAAATATTGGTTTCCACAGTGATTATTCTTGAGTTTACACTAACAGTCAACAGTTTAATTTATCACTTAATCAATGAAGGCTCAGCAAGTTGAGAACACAGATAAGCCTTAGGCTTGGTATTATCTTAGAATTGTGTTAAGTAAATTTGAAGTATAGTTTTGATGAATTACTTAACATTTCAGACCCAGTTATAAATATTTGTTTTTGATATACAGGCAATTAAAATCTCTGTTAATCTCAACTTGCTAAGTGTAATTACATTTGTACAACTAGAGGGACATACTGGTCTTAAATTTATACTAGATTTCATAGGGAATGAAATAACAGGTGTTTTTAATTTTTAGGGGTAGTTCAGTGGATTCCATTTGAGCCAATTAACTACTAGAATTCAGATAGGGTAGATTTTGTTCAACATTTGATAGTTTTTGCTTTAGGTTATTGCTGATTTTCAACATCCTTGAACTGCCCCAGTCTTCCCTCAGGTATATACACTTTTCACATACCTCTAATCCTATGCTTCCTTGAAACATTAATAGCTAGCTGAATTGTTAACTAAGGGTTGTTCTAAGAACCCCGGGGGTGGGGGTGGGGAAGGGAGCGAAGATTAAAATCTTTATGTTCTCTAATATAAGGGAAAAAGCAGATAGGCACCAAGTCTGATTAGGCAGGAAACACCAGGGTTTCTTACGCAATCCTGAAATGCTAATTGTCTTCTACCTTGTCACACCAGACGCTGTGACCTTCAAAACAACCCGGAAGCCTCAGGTTTGTGAACAGCACAGGTGGGATGACATTTTGTGCTTCCAGGGGCTCCCCCACCGCCAGGCACATTAGTTTCGTCCTTGCTACCGCTTTCGTTCTGCCTGGCCAGGGAAGTGTCTGTGTCCTCCTCCTCACCTCCATTTCCTCCACGTGCAGTGGCTGAAATAGATCTGCGCCTGCAAGGTTTGTATTTAAGAACTCACATTTTTGGCTCTTAGGAATGTACACCCTTAGTTAACTAGTCTCTTCTGTTAGTTCTAAAGGAAATGTGGATATCTCTCAAGCCGGGAGTTGGTGACTAGCTTTAATTAGACTGCAGGTTAATCCTGATTTTTTTTAATAGAGGAGTAAATGGAGTTGAGGTTTGCTGACTTTGTAGCCTAACTCCAAGACATGGAAGAGTGCTCTAGGTAGGAAAGAATTCTCTCACTAATGATTTGTAGCTACTTACTGTGCCTGACTTGGTGCCTGTGTGAGGATATGCCCTACCACTACTCTTGCAATTATGCACATGACTGAAGTTTTAAATATCTGCTGTTGTAATAACAAGAAAAATTGTCACTTCCCTTTTGAAAACAAGAAAAAAATCTTTATTTTAGGTAAACATGTTTTTGAATAACAAATGGAGGTACTTACTAATTTAATTAATGATGTCTATGTTGTATTTATGTAGCAATCTCTTTGTTTCTACTGTGCTCAACATGTTAGTGGCTTTCCTCTTCAATTCTCCCTCTGTTTATCTTACTATTTTTTATGGCTTTGAATATTGTCTACATTTCAACTATCTCGAATTGTTTGTCTCTGTATCAGGCCTTTCACTGATCCTCTGAGCTCAGATGTCCAGCTTCCCACCTGATATTTCCATCTGTGATATCTCTTCTTAGACATTTTACAACATTCGAAACAAAACTCTTGATATTCTTGTACCCTGGTCTGAAACATACCTTCCCAATCTCAATAAATGGTACCATGTTCTGTCCGGTTTAAAATATAGAAACCTAGAAATTATTTTTGTTTTCTATTTCCTTCACCTCTCATGCAGTCTTGTCATTACTACTCCCAAAATATATTTTGTGTGCATTCATCCATTTTATCACTTTTGCTTATACCTTAGTCTATTATCTCCCGTCTGGATTTCTGCAGAGACTTCAATATCAGTAGATGTATTTGGAGGCCTGCTTTTCATTTAAATGCCAGATTTTAATGACACTTTCTTCCTTTCATCACATAATTGAATTAAATTATGCCTCTAGAAAATAGAAAGAAAATTAACAATGTACCATATTACTTTGAATTTAAGTGCAAATGCTATGTTTGCAATAAGAATATTATTGAAATGCAATAGGATGCTTTCAAAGGATATATAGATTACTCTTGTGAAGGGCAGATCCTTTTTTTTTAAATTTTTATTTATTTATTTTTTGACAGGCAGAGTGGACAGTGAGAGAGAAAGAGACGGAGAGAAAGGTCTTCCTTTGCCATTGGTTCACCCTCCAATGGCCGCCTCGGCCGGCGCGCTGCGGCTGGCGCACTGTGCTGATCCGATGGCAGGAGCCAGGTACTTCTCCTGGTCTCCCATGGGGTGCAGGGCCCAAATACTTGGGCCATCCTCCACTGCACTCCCTGGCCATAGCAGAAAGCTGGCCTGGAAGAGGGGCAACTGGAACAGAATCCGGTGCCCCGACCAGGACTAGAACCCGGTGTGCCAGCGCCGCAAGGTGGAGGATTAGCCTGGTGAGCCACGGCACCAGCCCAAGGGCAGATCCTTAATATATAAAGACATGACACCAAATTAGGTCCATAAAATCAGCTGTCTTTGGCAGTATCTTCAGGGAAGTTGGAGGCAACAAGATACCACTTATTCTGCACCTGCTGACTCTCTGGATCAATCTTATTCTTCGCTGACCACAGGACCAGTGTTGTTAGAAAGTTCTCAACCCACTCTCCTTCACAGTCAATCATGCAAGCTCTCCCATACCCTGTCTGAACCCCTTCACTTTCCTGCTCACTGATCCTAGGGAGATGGTAGGAAACATTTAACACTGGCTCTTGGTGTACTACTCCCTTGGGAGTCTCCACCTCCTGCATAAATGTTCGTGCAATAGGAGGAATACATTTGCTCTTTGTTCCATCTTTAGAACTAGAAAATGATCTACAATCAAGCAAACATATCTTCTAACTAGCCTTTCTGATTTCAATTTTGCTCCTGTGAGTCATTTTTTTTACAAGGCAGAAAGAATCATGAGTTTTAAAAAACTTTCAAAATGGGAATATATGTGCTGAAGGACACAAAAACCCGAAGTATATAATCTGATAAATTATCACAGAGTACTCACTGTCTGGTTAAAGAGATAGAATGTAGCCATTAGAAAGTTATGATGATGAAAATGGCTGCTCTCCTGGCAGGGAAGCTAAATTTCAAAAGGCATAGAGTAGTGGGCAGAAAATAAAAAATAGGGGTGTGAGTTCTAGGTTTGAAACTTGACTCTGATTCCCTTTCCAATATTTCTCACAACTTAGAACAAATTAAAAAAAATCATAGTATTTATAGCAGGGTAAATGAGCAGCTAACTGTCCAGCAGAAGTAACCTGCCCCCTATTCTAGCTGACAGAGATCCCTGGCAATTGACCAAGGAGAGTTCAGTGTTTCGCCATACCTTCCTGACACCCTAGCATGCCATGGCACAGCATCAGAGAAGCTCTGGCCCAATCTATGGCTTTTTGTTAGGGCACACATTTCTTGACTTATGTTATCATAAGATCCTTCTCTATTTTGTTCACTGTTGTTCTCTCTGCTTTGAATATTCAGTCTACCTTTTAGTTATGTTTCATATTTCTAAGATCTTTTGATTAATATTTTTTTCATTTTAGGAAGGGAAAGAGGGAATAAGGGAGTGACTTGTTGCGATCTGACTTTTTTGAAACAGTATTTTATTCTTTTTTTTTAAAAGATTTTATTTATTTATTTGTGAGATAGAGTTACAGACAGTGAAAGAGACAAAGAGAGGTCTTCCTTCCATTGGTTCACTCTCCAAATGGCCGCAGCAGCCACAGCTGTGCTGATCTGAAGCCAGGAGTCAGGTGCTTCTTCCCACTCTCCCATGTGGATGCAGGGGCCCAAAGACTTGGGCCATCTTCTACTGCTATCCCAGGCTATAGCAGAGAGCTGGATTGGAAGAGGGGCAGCTGGGACTAGAACTGGTGCCCATATGGAATGCTGGCGCTGCAGGCAGAGGATTAACCTGCTGTGCCATGGCGCTGACCCCAGTATTTTATTCTTTTAGGTGCACATTTATACTGTAATATTCATTAAAACATAACAGGAATTTATCTTTGTAAACATATATTTTCTTCATGAACATTTATCTTGTTATTTTTTGGGAGATAGTTTCAGCCTAACAATGCTGCATATTTATATATTTTAATTTTTTAAAACTTATATTTTAAAAAATCTGTATTGATATCAAACTCTTGATTTTCCATTTTCCATGGTCGAGTTTTTTTTTTTTTTTTAAGATTTTTTATTTACTTGATAGGAGAGTTACAGAAAGAAAGAGAAAGATTGAGACAAAGAAAGATCTTTCATCTGCTAGTTCACTTCCCAAATGGTCTCAATGACCGGGGCTGGGGAAGGCAAAACTAGGAGCCTGGAACCTCATCTGGGTATCTCAGGTATTTGGCAGGGGCCCAAGAACTTGGGTAATCATCCACTGCTTTTGGGGTACATTAGCAGGGAGCCGGATCAGAAGCAGAATATTTGAGACTAGACCCTGCTCTCATATGGATGCCATGTTCAGGTAGTGGTTTAACCTGCTGTGCCATAATGCTGGCCCCTAAGCTGCTATTTTTTAAAAGCTGGAATAAAAAGAACATTTCATTGGAATCATACATATTTTCAAAATCTGCTTGATAATCAGTGACTGATCATCAAATGGAAACTTTTTACTTCTTACTCCTTTTAATAAGGAAAATGATAGTAAGACTCAAGCATGTATCTGGAATCTTCTGCCAATCCAGAGTATTTTAATACTCTTTCCCCGCAGACCTGGTGTGTGGAGAACAGGATCCTTCAGTGCCAGACTGCTGTTCTTTATGGCTGGCCTCCTGCAGCTGCTGAGAAAGACCGTGATTTAGGGGATCCTCCCAGAGTTTTTGGACCTCTGCTTTCGGCCCTTCTGAATCATTTGTTCTACTTCCCTGGGTTTTGGAATGATGTTGGTAGATCCCCAGACCTTTGTTTTCTGGAAGATAGCTAGGATGTAAGTTTCAGCTTTCATAAAATTATCTTAAGCCTCATAAAAATACCAAGGATGAATTTTTAGTGCTATGAATCATAAAACCAGTCATCAATGCTTTTAGAGAGAAAATGATGGTAGGATAATATAATAGCACATTCGCGGTTAAGTCTGTTAATGCTTCTAATAGTTTTTGGTTTTAAAAGAACACTTCTAATTCATAGATGGTTAATTCACCTTGACAGCTTCAGCTATCCCTACCCCTTCACTGTGCACATGTTCATGCACACACACACCTGTAAAATCTGTTTGAATTTAGATGCCTGGGGACCACTGGGAGAATCATAAAAAGATTTCACTTTATAAACACATTTTTTTTCCATTGGATTTTAAAATGAAATGTTTCTAAGGGTTGATCTATGGATTTCAGCTTTTTGTTCAAACAAGTATTCAGTCCAATGTTTATTTTATTTATTTATTTGACAGGCAGAGTTAGACAATGAGAGAGAGAGAGAGAGAGAAAGACAGAGAGAAAGGTCTTCATTTTTCTGTTGGTTCACCCCCCACGTGGCCGCAGCAGCCGGCACACTGTGCAGATCTGAAGCCAGGAGCCAGGTGCTTCCTCCTGGTTTCCCATGTGGGTGAAGGGCCCAAGCACTTGGGCCATCCTCCGCTGCCTTCCCGGGCCACAGTAGAGAGCTGGACTGGAAGAGGAGCAATGGGGACAGAACCGGCTCCCCAACTGGGACTAGAACCCAGGGTGCCGGCGCTGCAGGCGGAGGATTAGCCTAGTGAGCTGTGGTGCTGGCCCAGTCCAATGTTTAAAAATTTTCTCTGTACTATGATTTAGAAACTTTGCTTTTGCTCTCCAATGCTGTTAAAGATCTTACTATTTAATCACATTCTCATTGGGCTCTAAGGAAAGACATTTTGCAAATACTATAGTAG